AATTCAAACATTAATTCAAAGAAGGGATGTAGTGATGTATTATTTTTGGCAATTCATCTGCTCCTTTACCTGAGGTGCTGCGTGTGTGATTGAAGACCAGAGCTTCTGTTCAGTGGTATCACTTCCAGGTCTTGAAGTCTGTTTGCTGTGGGCAAGTAGGATTAAAAAAAAAATAATACTAAGGAGGAAGGGAAAGTCAGCAGAAGAAAAGGAACCAAGACAGTGAAATAGCCATTTCCCTCTCCTGAAGGGAAGAGGCTTAAAAGAAGTGAAACAGTTTTCGTATCTTTAGTTCTTTCAAATTGCAGTGCTCCATCAAACTTAGGATCTGGATGTCTTAAGCAGCTGTTTGCTCTGCAGGATAGAGAAAGCGAAGGACATAATGTCTGAGATGCTTATGCTGGCATTTTAATACAAATACATCACTGAGAAGGTAGAGGGACTTGGCTTCTTTGGATGAGCAGTTGAATGGGGTTTGGGAGGTGCAAGAGTGTGCTCACCTGCTGTAAAAAAAACCCCAAACAAACACAAAAGAAAATGTAGTGTCTTTGTGGCGGGGGAGAAAAGTAAAAGAATTTTTTTTTTTAGGTCTGGTTAATAATTGAAGAGTCGTGTAGAAAGAATAAGAAGGAGAAAAAAAAAACCTAGAACATTACATTCAGAAACAAAACTAAGAAAATATGTTCTGTGCTTGAAGACCGCACTGAGCAGAGCGTGTTCTGTAATAGGAAACAAACTGGCACAAACTGTGGAAGGAATAAAAGTTTTAAGAGACGCGTAGGAGAACTTCTTGCATCTCTAACTGTAGTAGTTCATAAAATGTCCAGATGCAGCAAACACTGCATAGTACATAATGGTTCTTTTAAAATACGTGGCATGGTTTTTGTGCATTCTCTGAAATTCGATGTTTGGTGTTTTGAATGTTTTAGCCTGAGTTTGTAGGTTTGGTATTGATGGGCTCTCGTGACGTGCTGGTTTTTTTTTATCTGCATCAAAAATGTAACTTTGACAAACTGTGCTGTATGATGCACAGTCGCCACCGTGAAAAGTGTAATTGTTCCTGTGATGTATTTGTAACAGACTTTTAGCTGCTGTGATAATAAGCACTGTACAGTCAGCAGAATGGTATAGTGACGCTCTGTGTGCCTTTCAAATTGTACAAAATACACATCTGAATTGAGACAGAAATAGCAACTTCAGCTATAGCTACAGTACAAATGATTCATACAGGTGACTGAGGAAGACTTTCAGAGCTGCCAAGCTGCAAGCTGGCTGTTTAGGTTTTTCTCTTATAGGATCTTTGGCGATGTTGTCGCAGAAGGGTGTTTTATTAGCCTAGGGAAGTGGCACATGCATTGGTAACTATCTCCTTAATGCTGCATATTTTGAATTTAGGTCCTGCTGTCTGCCAGTTTGAGTGTACTGCTGCATCAGACTGGTTGAAGTTCAGTCTTGCCAGATGTCTTGGGACCACTATTAAACTATTTTAAGTGCGTATTTTCAAAAAGTAAATATAAATACAGAGGATTTTTATTAGGATTTGTCATTAGATTAATGAATTATTAACTCTATAGAACAGTTTTTGGTTACTTACTGGTGACTGATGGAGGTTTTAACCAACGCATATATGAGTGCCTCCATCAGTACCCTAAATTCTTAAATGTTACATGAATATAGCAGTTCCTGAGATGTCTGGCCTTTGCTGGTGCCCAGATAAACGAATGAGCCTTCTCCCGGGAACAGGGGCGCAGCTCTGCGCTGATGTGACTCAAGAATCTGCAGACACAGAACCAGCTCGGGGACTGGTTCCTTAATCACCTTAATCTGATTGAACTGCAGGCTGCTGCCAAAAGGAGTGGTGGTGGTTGCTGGGTGCCTCGGGTTCTGTATTCCACCTGCAGTTCAGTTGCTATGAAGCAACTCCAGGAGTTCACCTCTGTCTCTCTGCGTTCGGGAAGGGCTTGTGTAAGGCATTAATGAAAATTGTCCTAAAGTAGGAATTCCTGCTGTATTTATCTCCAGTAATTCTTATAGCATTATTCTTGAGCTCTGCCACAGATCTTTCGGTTCATTCAGATCTGTGTTCGTTATAGATAACATAACAACTGTACCACTCTGTTCTAACTCAGTCTTGAGCTGGGGGTGCCAATAATGATAAATTCTGTAAAAATGGTACTTCGACTGTGGTCTACAAAGTTATTTCACTTCACAGAGAGTTCAGATTTTACAGCTGTGCTTCTATATGTGTCATTGATTTCTGTGATACATCTTAATTTTCCAGTTCATGAAAAAATATGGGTAGTTAAATGTGAACACTGGGAGTCTTTTAATGAAGATCTTGATGATTCTGGGAAATTTAGAAAGCAGTTGAAAGTAGGTCTGCTTTGTTGGGAACATGAGGCATGCCTAGATTGTGCAGCTCCCTGGGGCTGTGTCTTTCTTTTTGCAGCCTTACCATGTTTCCTCCCTCCATAGAGCTACCAAGAAAAATCTTATGTTGTAGAATTCTTTAATAGATCCTAATGGGATTCGAATAACATTTAAATATTAATATTAAAAAATGTCAAGAATGAAATATAAAGAGCATTAGGGAACCAGACTAGCTGATGCACTGCTTCAACCTGGGAGGACATTCACTGTCATTCTTAAATGGTGCTGTGAGTTTATAGCTAAAAGATTACTCCAGTGGTTGAGATGGTAAAAGTATTTTGAATGTTTACTGTCTGTTTTGAGGATTTGTAAATGATCCAAAAGCTCCTTGATCCTGACACTTGGAAGCGTTGGTCAGTTGTTACCGAAATCGGTGTCAGTACAGATTAGATTTCACCTCCCCTTCCTAGTTGTGTATGAAAGACAGTGGAATGGCTTGAGGGACATGTTCTAACAAAAAAATAACAAAGCCTAACTGGTAAAGAAGCAGCAAACATCTCCTTTCTTTCCACTTTATATCGTGCAGTGGCAGAACTTTGACTGTCTCCCATTTGAATGCAGATGGCGGTGGTGTTCTGGTGTTGACGTCAAAGTATTAATCTGATGTTCTGTTGAAAAAGACATCAATCTCTACCACTCTGTGTGGAAAGAAAGTAAGATACTACTCAGGTGTAGGTTGGTATGAGAGATGCTGTCCTTCTCGCCTTTTTCTTTGCGTATGGGAACATCGTTTGTTTGTTTTAAAGAACAGACACTTTTCTCCTGATCGGACCAGGCTGAAAAATGAATTAGTTGTTTGTGCCACTTTAACAGCAGAGGCAGGACTAGTTTGGCTGCAGTGTGGCCTTTGCTGGGTGAAGGGAGACGGGGGATGTTGAGGCACGTGTCCCTGGGACACAAACTTAACTTTAAATGTCACTTGAAGATAAGTAAAAAGAATTCCCTGGAAATTTTAGAGAAAGAAATTTTAGAAAGAAAATTTTCTCAGGAGGAACTGGCTCTTACTGGACTCAGGATCCTACAAGGAATGCCTTACTTTGGCACTGGTAGCATGGTTTTACCAAGAACTTGTGTTTAACTGGACTTGCTATCGTTGTTCTTTATATTCTAGCCGCTATTTGAGAAGCAGTATGTTTTGATAAGTAGACTTTTTTGCATAGTGTCTGTTTTTACCACAGTCTAATGGTATAGATGCTGAATATAACAAAATAGCTGAGATAACTATCTGAAAGTAGGAATAATCATGGGGATGCTGTCATGTGCTGGTGGGAGGAGGGTTTTGATTGTAGCTCCACTGTAGGGAGAATACTTGTACTATTTGTTTTTCGAAACGTGAGAATAAACATCGCCTGAGCAGACTGCACCAAAGTCAGGCTCAGGAGCAATGCTGAGTGAAGAATGCTGCTCAAAGAAGCAAATGCATTTTAACTGATAATGCTGAAAACCTGTACAAGGATAATGGTTCAGTTTTTTGATTATGCTCCTCTAATGCTGCTTTATTGTTAAAGAGTTTTTTTTATATAAGGGTAGGGATCTTGCAGGCAAGCAAGACAGTAAGAAAGCAGCATCTTTGAAGACAATGTAGTTGCATTAGATACTAAGGTTTGATACCATGGATGATTTTTTATTATTGTTTTTTATATAACATTGTTCTGTTTTACTTCCTGTTACTTATTTTATGAGTCTTTTGGCATACTTTTAGTGTAGATACAGTTACTCATGTTTGTGCTTAAGTATTTGCTTTTCTACAGGTCATGCTTTCCTTATGTTGTTAAAAATGCAGGATTAAGCAGGATATGAGGCTCAGAAAAGTCTTTAGATATACATCTGAAGTAGCAGCAGGGCTATAGAAACTACTAAACTAGTAAAATTACTAAGAGACAAATTGGACCAATTTTAATATGTGCCTTACTTAAAATTAATAGAGAAGATATTTTATTAGGCAACTCTGAATTTGGCACAATGTTTAATTTGATTTGTTGGGGAAGTCTGTCTCTTCCCCTGCTGCTGGGTGGTGAGCATGATTGCTGTGATCCCTCTGCCACTAGATGTTGCTATATGAGTGATTGATATAATCTTATCTGATGCTGGATGGATTAATCTCTTAAGAAAAGGAGGAGATATTGCTGAAACAGTATTACTGCCTATTCAGAAATTAGTATTTTGAGACATTTGCCTGAGACATTTTTAGAATTTATTGGCTCTGTTATATTAGTCATAAAGATTGTTTCTCTCTTGTATACCCAGGAGTATGTTAGTCATTATTTCCAGTTAGGCAGGCTTTTCTTTTCATATGTCTATAGAGCTTGTAGACTCGGTAGTGAGTGAGGAAAAAAGGCAACAAAATGTAACTCAGACAAAAAGGTTTTTGCAGGAACTCTGTTTTGTAGCATCTGTGACTTTTCATTTGATGAAAGTTGTCAGGGGAAGAAAATTGCTATACATTGCAGCATGAGGAATAATCAAGGGAAATTTTTGCTTTTACTTCACTTTGGCTTTTTTTTAAGCACTACCTTTTTGGTGAAGGATTACTTACCTCCTTGGGGGGTTACTGTGTTTATTCTACACAGAAGTCTACAAACAGAACTCCATCAGCGTGAACTGAAGTTATCCTAAGGAAAATCTCATTGCATGGATTGTGTAAACTCACTGAGACTGAAGTAAAGCTGGAAAGGAATCTACGAGTGAATAAAACTAGAAGTTTGGAATTGGATTTGGGGAATCTGGGCTTGGAAATGCCTCAGGTAAGTCTGTTATGATTTTATTTGCTTCTGTAAATAATTCTGCTTCCTTGTTTAAAAAAAAAATATTGAAGAGTAAATTTGACTGGTATTAGCAGGGAGAATTTATGAGAGATTAAATGGTGTATATTTTTTAGGATCCCAGTAGTGTCTGTGGTGGAAGGGATGTTGCTGCTCTTGGTACTGTTTTTGATCACACAGAAAGAGTCAGCAAAGTTGTTGTCTTGATGAGGGTGGATGCCTGGAGAGCAGCCTTTTATTGCTGCAGTGATTCACACATCAGCACACTGAATGACTTTCAGCAGTACAGTGTTTCTCCCTTCCCAGCCCTCAGGGCGAGTGTGTCTAGAAGAGAAATAGAGGTCTGGAATTAAATGTAGCAGAAAGCCTTGCTGCCCATTCCCTGCATGCCCAATCCTCCTGCATGTTTTTTTGCAAAGTTCCACTTTGTTCTCAAGAGATACAACACTCTTGATTTAGTTGTAATAAATTTTGCTTTTGTTACAACCTTTGCTGAAAGTTTTATAAATTCTGATGATTCTAAAAGCAGTCAGCACTGCTTTAGTACAAAATGGCTTGTGTTAAGGTGAAGGCCCTGCAAGCGTGTGGTGCCTATTGATACTCACAGATCTTGCCAGTACTCGCTCTCCTCTTCTACAAATGCTGACATATCCCTAAACTTGGCAAACGTGAGAATTTCAAACCAACAAAAAAGAATGAATGAGCAATGCTCTTGCAGCTATATGATGAATACAAATGTGGTCTTTGATTTAAGAGCTGCATGTTGTTAACTGTTTTTTAAAGCATTCTCTCGCTCTGAGAAATGACATGCATATCTGTGTAGGTAAAAACCTTACCGATGCGAGTATAGCACGAGTTCAGAGACTCAGATGAAATGGCAATACTCTTTATGTTTCATTGAAGAAAAGAATATGCCTTTTTATAGCATCCTTCAAATGTCAGTATAAATTTTGTTGTAGCCCAGTGTGAGTGGAATGGACCCTCCTTTTGGGGACGCCTTTCGGAGCCATGTGTTTTCAGAGCAGACTCTGATGAGCACGGATCTCTTGGCAAGCAGTTCAGATCCAGATTTCATGTATGAACTGGTAGGTCGTCTTTCTGTGTGTCTCCATAATTTCCTCTCCTTGACTAATACCCTGAGTTTGTATAGTAATAAAGGGGTATTTGTGCAAGAATGCTAGAAGATTCTTCATTACGGCTAGCTACTGATTAGGAAAGAGCCTAACTGCTTGTCCAGCAAATGTGATGTTTCCTCAATAGATGCTTGTTAAAGCTGGCCATCAGGAGAGGCTTGATACACAAGTCTCAAATCGAGCTGTGTTGGCGTTATGTAATGGTGCTTGAGACTCTTCCTTACAATCTTTTCTGCAAGAGCAGCTATATGCTACCTCACCCAAGCTGTGAATGCAGGGGAAGCAAAATAAAAGTTGACTCACAAGCTACTTATACTAGCATTGTTTTTTTTTGTTGTTTGGGTTTTTTTTTCCCCTGCATTAAAAGATAAAATAGCTTATAGTCATTAATTGATCATGTTAGAATGAGGTTTTCTTTCCAGGAACTGGTAAACTTGAACATTGCCTGTTAAGCGCATAGCAAAGATTGACCTAGGTTAATAGAGACTAGAACAGCTTGCCTGTGATGTCTTTCCTATTTTAAATGTATGAATATTGGTACTAGTCTAGTTCCTGATGACCAGATGGATTTGTAATAGCAGAAAAAGAATCCAGCAGCATTTGACCTGTAACTTTAGCAATCTCTTCAGAAGGATCTGCTGCTGAAGCATGGAAGCTGGACTTCATTCTGACCCACAAAGGCAGCTTTTAGTTGGAAGTTGAGGTATCTTCATATGTTATCACTGTCTTACACTTTACTGGAATTAAGCTCACCATACTAGATTATCGATACTTTTTTAATATTAATTTTTAACTTGTCTTATTATGCACAGGACAGAGAAATGGACTATCAGCAAAGCTCCAGAGACAACTTACTTTCAATGGAGGACTGCAAAGACCTTGAGAACTTGGAGTCTTTTACGGACATCCTGGACAAAGAAGCTGCTCTCACCTCAAAGTGGGAACAGTGGGACACCTACTGTGAAGACTTAACTAAGTACACTAAATTAACCAGCTGTGACATCTGGGGAACAAAAGAGGTGGATTATTTAGGCCTTGATGACTTTTCAAGCCCATACCAAGATGAAGAGGTGATAAGCAAAACACCAACACTGGCTCAGCTTAACAGTGAGGACTCACAGCCTGTTTCTGATTCACTTTATTACCCTGATTTGCTCTTTAGTGTAAAACAAAACCCTTTAACTTCTTTGTTACCTGGAAAAAAAATTGCAACCAGAGCAGCAGCCCCAGTCTGTTCCTCCAAGAACGTTCAGGCTGAGGCACCTTTGTCAGACTGTGTTCAGAAGGCAAGCAAACCTGCAACCCAGCCTGCTTCCAGTACACAAATCACGGTGAAGACCAATGTGTACAACAATGAAAAGGTGAACGTTCATGTTGAATGTAAAGACTATGTTAAAAAGGCAAAAGTAAAGATCAATGCTTTACCACAGGGCAGACCGGTGCTGAGCCAGACACATGCTGATGCAGCAAAGGAAAACACCTGCTATTGTGGTGCTGTAGCAAAGAGACAAGAAAGAAAAGGAATAGAGTCCCCACATAGTCACAGTACACCTCCTGTTTTGCCTTTTAAAGAGACTCAAGAACTGCTCCTCAGTCCACCCCAGGAAACCCCAGGGCTTATTGTGGGGGAGAGCAGTCATTCTGCCAGCGCATCAGTGTCAGATTCTTCACAGAAGAAAGAAGAGCACAACTATTCTCTTTTTGTAACAGACAGTTTGGGTGAACAGTTGGCCAAAGGAGACCCTGAGGAGGAGGAGGATGATGAGGACGATATTGAGGATGAGGACCATGATGAAGGATTCGGCAGTGAGCACGAGCTGTCTGAAAACGATGATGAGGAGGAAGATTATGAGGATGATAAAGATGATGACATCAGCGATACCTTCTCAGAACCAGGTACCAGCAATGTTGGGCTTTGCTAACGTGGAGGTTAATGGATTTGTCTGCTGAGTGGGAAAGAATGCTTTTCAATGCTTAATAGTTACAGATGAGCAACACTGATCTTAAATTATGAATTTTAATCCCAGATTTTCTAATTGCTTTGCAAAATGTAATTAATAAAAACTCTACAAGGTTGCTGTCTCCCTGTTTTGAGGAAAAACTGCATAAACTGTGGTCACGCAACAAAAATAATAGTAGAGGATACAGGAAACCTAGCTTGTAGCCTGAAGTCTTAGAGCAATTACCTGCAATTGTTGTATTGTTTTTTTGTGGCTTGATGATAGGATGTGCAGAGCTTTCTAGTGCTCCAGTAGATTGCTGCTTTGAATTTATCCAGAGTTATATCTCTTGAGAGCTGGTATGAAATCATAGCCTTAGTTAAATAATTTCATAATTGCTTAAGTCCTACTTTAAGTACAGTTTTCCACAGAATCCAGAGAATACCTACCACTGAAACTAATAGAACCGTTTCTTGGTGGTTTTCAGCAGTAACACTTAGTGGGTCTTCAAAGGATACTGAATCCCTCTCTTCTGCATGTAGAAATGGAGCCTTAACAACAGAAATAAGAACTAACCTTCACCTAGAAGGTAACAAAGCGGTAACGTTGTGTAAAAATAAAATCTGAATGAAGAGAAAAGGACAAGACTGTAACCAAGTAATAGTTTCAGTGTAGAAAGTATAATATTCACATTTTATAAATGCTTTGTTGTAGAGTATAAGAATTAACGTATTCAGATATTTGGCAATATGTAATTTCATGGGGGAAAGCAGCTGAAGTTTTGCCTTTTTAAAAACAGCAGCTTCCCTAAAGCTTGTCGTGTTTGTCATAATGAACTCTTGGATTAAATTATTTTCTAAGTAGATTTCCTGAGATGGCATTAAACTCGTTAAGCATTATACCCTTTATGTTATTTTTACATGTACATAACACATTTGTATTAGCATTTTAAAACTCTTCCTCCCTTCTTCTGAATTGAACTCCCTCTACTTTCTGGGGCTTTGAGTAGCTATTAGAGCTCTGTAATGATTGCTGTACTGCACAGTGTTTTGCAGCCCACAGAGGCAAGTTGCACAGAAAGCCTGGTAACCTTGAAAAAGAGATGTCACATTAAAATGCTGGAATTTCAGTTGGAGGAATTACATTAACTATTTGCCATTTGTTCAGATTTTACTGACAAGCAGTCGCTCTCGCCTTCTCTAAATGCAGCTGTGTCGTGCAGTACAGCAACTGAGGAGCTTGCCTTGCTGGAACTTTAAGTGAATGAAGCCATTCACCGTGAGCATGGTGATATTAAAAGTTTCACCATATGTTTTGATTATATTAGAAGGTATTGTCTCCAGGTATTTTAATTATGTCACTCTTGTACGTAGTGTGGCTTTTTTGCCTTTAGAGTAAAGGTAAATACTATGGGTAAAGCTTCTAAAAATAGGCATGGCACAGGAAGATTTAACCTTCCACAGTACTGAAACCAAAATCAGTTGACAAATTTAGAGTGAAGATGTAATTTACTGGAAGGATAAAAAACTTACTAGTTATTACTGACCCTCTGATATATTTTATACACAGTTTGCTTTTGTTAATTCTTCTTCATGTAAGTTTTTGGAGTGCATTAAATGTTTTCTTAAAGCGTTAGTGTTGTCTGAGGAAACACTTAGATATAGTGAACTTTATATATAAAGTTATTCATGAACTTGGAGAAATAACTAAAAATTGTCTGGGTGTTGGGCAAGTTTGGGCAACAATGTTTTTATTATCACCATGATACAGATTTAGCAATTTTTGTCACTGGCAAAGGTAATTTATTATTGGAATTATTAGCCCAGGCCTTTTTTAGCACTTAAACCTTTTTTTGCCATTGCTAGTATATTTTATATATATATATTATATACAGTTCATTTAATAGAACTACTTGTAAATGACTGCTTCTCCCATCAAGTAGTCAAGAGATTCCAGAAATGGGAAATCCAACAACTGATTCAGTTTTCGGTAGCACTGGAGAAGAAACAGCTGAGAGGGAAAAGTGCTTGTAGAGACATGGAGATTGTTTAAAGAAGTTGCGTGGCATCTATTCCGAGCCCCCAAACCATCAGCTGGGGGAAAAACACTGATAAATGGTTTGACAGAAGTCAGAATGATTAAATGGTAAAGAGATTGGGGTTTTCTGCTTTTGTTTTGGTAGGTCTATTTTTGCTTTTATTCTGGTAAAATGCAGAAGTTACATCTATCCTATTCTCTGTTTTACTTCATTTTAACTCTGGTGAATTTAAACCTAAAACCATAGTAAGTGATGTGAATAAAGATTTTTAGGAGGGACTTGCAAAGGGCTTGAAATGTAAATACAAAGACCCTTTCAGATTTCTTAGAAGCCCGCCAAAGAAAGTGAGACCACTATATGATCTGTGCTAAGAGGAGAATTCAAGGAAGATGACTACAGTTCAGAAGAGCTCAGCAGATTTGTTGCGCTCCTGTGCGTTACAGGCAACGTTAGGACATTGTGCATTGGATTCTTGTACGTAACTTTAAAATGGTAGCAGGTCAGTGTCAGAGTTACAAGGCAGGGTGTGCTAAGTCAACATAATTTTAAGTTGCTCAGTTAATTATAGTTTAAATGAGCAAACAGGAAGTCTTGATTTTAACCTTGTTGTACATTTGTACACATGAGCTTTTAGAGAGATTTGTTTTCATCGGTTGGCTTAATTCTGTGTTATCATGAAAATGGGCTAAATTTATTCGTATCTATATAATGAGTTACATAGCTTGATATATTTTTTCAAGTGGAAAGTAAGTGGGTTTTTTAAGAGTATTTTGATATTTATGTCAAACAGCATTTGGGTAAAATGGAAGTACAGTTAAAAATATTTATGGTATTTGAAACTGTATTTAATGTAAAATGTCATAATCATTTTGGCTGTACAAGAAAAAAATGTTTTATAAAGCATGTTTCATTGTTTGATTTGCCTTTAAAATACCATCTTTTTAATAAACTAGAGAATCAAAGTATATGAGTTGATGAAATGATTAGAAACAGAACTTTGGAACTGATTTAATCCACTGCACACCTAACTTTTATTCATACTGCGGGTTATGAGGTGAGAGTCAGACCAAAGCAAGAAAGTTTGTTTTTCCTTTTTGACCGGTTTTTCAAGTGCAAACAGACTAATTGAATGGACTGTTTTAAAAAGAAGAAAGTGTTCTTTGTGCTACTGTTAAAAGATGAAGCAGAGCTCAAGCATATGGGGTCAAGGCTTTTTAAGCTTACAGTCCACTCAGTGGTTGGCTTTACTTTAAGCTTCATAAGTGTGTGTCATGTTTTGAAATGAATTCTTTTTTAAGTAAAAGTAAACTATTACATAACATTTTAGTACAAAAAGCGATGCAGTGGTTTGGGTTTTTTTAACCTTAGTATAGGTTGTCTTTATGTTCTAAAGCATATGTAGGACTCCAAAAAGTGTTTACGTAATTACAGTATAAATATTTATGCAGTGTGGATAGTGACATTACAGTTTCCATGTACTTCATCGTATTAAGTGCATTGTAATACACCTCTAAAATATTGTGTAGCTTACAGTGGATCATTTCTCTTCATCCCACTAAAGAGGTGAGGAAGAGATTGAACAGCTCGTGCCCATATCCCTTCAATTTTGATTGTCTTTTCCTATGGGCCTTAAGTCACTGTCCTGATAACAGAGCCCTCTTCCTCTAGTCTCATAGAGATGGGTGGTTTGATTTATTTCCCGAAGGTATTCAGACTCAAGGAAGAGCAGAACTTGGACTCAATGATCCTAATGGGTCCCTTCCAACTCAGAATATTCTATGATCGAATAATTTTGCTTTCTTTATTAGCCTTTTGCTCATCTGTCTTTATTATCTGCTTCTCTTTCCATGCTTTTTGATTAGATATAAATTAAAATGTGGAGGCAAGTTAGGATTATGTTCCTGCAAATTCATGGAGGAAATTGTAAGAATGGAATAACACTCTCCAACAGCTGTTGTCTGTACTCTGCAGCGATGGGGTTGTGGGGGAGAAGAGCCATAGAGCTTAAGGGGTCAGAGAACATAAAGGGGCTTTCAATGCATAAATAATTTGTCTCTTTTCAACTAATGAAGCACCATCACTGGCTCAGTGTCTATCCCTGGATTTAAGGCATGTATCCAGCAGTAGTTGACACTGAAAACCAAGTCTATTAGATAATGTAAAACAGACCTCATATGTGGTTTTGCTCTTAAATTGAATACTCAATCCACCATTAAAGGGCTAGAAACAGTTTTGTCAACATTATATAAACAATGCAATGTATCCTTTTAGGGTATGAAAATGATTCTGTGGAGGATTTAAAAGAAATGACTGCAATATCCTCTCGGAAAAGAGGCAAGCGAAGATACTTCTGGGAGTACAGTGAGCAACTAACACCATCGCAACAGGAAATAATGCTGAGGCCATCTGAGTGGAATCGAGATACCTTGCCAAGTAACATGTATCAGAAGAACGGTCTCCATCATGGTAAGAATAAGAGGCCTAGTTACAAGTGAACATCTTCCATTCTGACGCCTTCAGTAGCCAAACTCCCATACTCTCAAGGGCTGAGAAGTTGTGTTTTGGCCATGAAAATAAATCATTAAAACACTGTAAGTCTGTTGCTCAATTAGCAAATTTCTGCACAGTGTCCAAGGAAGGCACAGTGAACATACAGTAGTAACTTTCAGTGTGGTTTCTTCCAGAGGAAGGTGGATAAATTGAGAATTGTAACTTCCAAGGGCTTTCAGTGAAACCCCAAGTTCAAAATTTTCCCAGTGCGATACCGTAAACACGTTGGACAGGTCGCTTGACTGATATTTGCTCCTTGTAGCTCCTTAGTTTCCATCTTGCTTGTGTTAGAAGTAAGCTGGAAGTGATCTGAGATGCACAGTTCACGTTAACTGCAGCATGAACTAAAGGACAAGCAATAAGGTGTAACTCTCTGCTCCTCCCTACTTTTTTCTCCCACCTATGTGAATGCAGCACAGCAGTTACTTTTCTGTGAATAAACTATTTCTTTAAAATATCCTCTTAGAAAGTTAAGACAATTGGTCTGATAACTCTGTTTTATTCCCGTGACTTTTTGATGAGCAATTTGCTGTAGCACACACATGACTAACATCACCCAGAACAAACCACTCTCAGGAGTAATGTTTGTTTTCTTGTCACAGGGCATCTTTGGTAGGCTGCTCCATTTGATTTTGGCTTTGAAGGAGAAAATGAAACCAGCTTGTCTGGTTGTAATGTTAATGTTCCCTTACAGTTTAAAATTACTATCTTTAACGTGGCAGTTTACTTTCTGTTAAACCAGAATATTTTTTTCATTGTTATTACTTGGAGATTTATTCAGGGAAGAACACTTTTTTTTTACCTCCTTATTCTTTATATGCTTATTTGTCTTGTAGTAAAATATCAGTGTCTAAAGTCCCTATCACTGTTCCTTCTTATGAAGGCTTATAGCTATACTTCATAGTAAACAACAAATAACCAAACATGCAATGAGGACTCAGTCCTACCCGACACTTGGAGGAGCAAATGACCTTTAAGTCAGGTGCTAAGGTCATCTACTACCTCAGATAAATCATGCTAAATTGCTAGTTCTCTAATAAATATTTCTGGAACAGGTTTTACTAGTTTTATTAACATTTTCATGTAAGTGTCTGTAACAACCAGCATTTTTTTAATAGAGATTTAGAAAAGACACATGGCAATGGCAGAGAGTCTTAAGGAATAAAGATTTGTCTGGAGTAAGTGTATTTCCTGAGGAAAACCAGGCCTTCAGTAGCTTTGAATAAATATAAAAGGCGTTAACTAGCCTTGATGTGGATCATTTAAACTTAATATCACTGAAGATTGTTTTGGTACCAGGCCTTAGCACTCTTTCTTAATACAGAACTTTAGCAATAAGATTATTTAGAAATTTAATCAACTTGAGTGTGCAAGAGGATATATTGGCTGAACACATGAGTTAGCAAGTTACAGTTGGGGCAAAACAACTGGGTTCGAACTTGTGACATACACCTTTTTCAGCACAGTTGTGTGTATGCTGTCTGTCACATCCAGTAGCCTGCCCAGCAGTATTTGGTCTTATCTGATCTGGATATAATATGAATTGTACAAAGCAGTTTGTCTGGAAATGCTCTTTCTATTGTGAAAGGTCATAGGGAATCGCCTGATTCCCATCCATTCTCTTGTAATGAACAAAGGAACTTAAACTGCACCCAAAAAAATACATATTTAAGAATGTTTTTTCACAGGTTTGTGTACATATTGTGTCCCTTCCCAACCCAATTTTCTGCATATTTAAAACAGGAAAATATGCAGCAAAGAAATCACGGAGGACTGATGTAGAAGACCTGACTCCCAACCCCAGAAAACTTCTGCAGATTGGTAATGAACTGAGGAAGCTGAATAAGGTGATCAGTGACCTGACGCCAGTCAGTGAACTTCCCTTAACTGCCAGACCGAGGTCAAGAAAAGAAAAGAACAAGCTGGCTTCCAGGTATGTATTAGATAACACTACATGGATGAGTAAATTTGGATTACTACAACTGTAGGATTAAGATCTAACTAATTTTTGCCTGAAGAGATCCTGCTTCATTGTGGCAGTTCCTGCAACAGTCTAATTACCAGTTTATCAAAAAGCAGGGCAACTGGCACGTTGGAGATATAGATAACAATATATTTCCACTGGAAGCTGGCTTACTTAGCTGCAGGGCGAATGATTGATACAGTGATAAAATCCACAAGTGTGAAATGTAAGCAAATATAGGTAGCAGAGTGCTTTCAGTGAAGGTGAGTGAGTAGATAAATGATTTTGTACATCACAGCTCTGGGAGTATTGGTTGATAAGTTCGTGTGGCAAACAAACAGATGCTCGTAGTATTCTGGAATTTTTGTTAGTGTTCTAATTCTTCCCCTCTTCTTACTATAGGGCTTGTAGACTAAAAAAGAAAGCCCAGTATGAAGCCAATAAAGTAAAACTCTGGGGTCTCAACACGGAATATGGTAAATACAACTCTTCACATCTTAATTTTTCTTTTGCTCAGACAAGTCTGTGTTTTGCACCATCATGTAACCTGGGTCATACCTGGGAATTTATAGAGAAAACAGGGTTGGTACAAACCCAACAATTTTGTTGGTACAAAACCAGTCCACTCCGTAAAGTGTACATAAATTGGGTTACCTGCAGTGTTGAGCTACTTTACAGATGTAAATTATGTAAATGTATGCATGTAATGTAAATATTTTTGAAAATACATTTACAGATGTAAACCATTACATCTTGATGTTACAGTGAGTGTGATGTGATACCTTTGACACTTAACAGATAACAGTGTGTGGACAACTGTAGATCTCTTTTGCTCTAGGGGCAATGTGCTGTAAGTCTAATCCAGGTTTTTTTTCTTTGCAGATAGTTTGCTGTTTGTGATCAACTCCATTAAACAAGAAATAGTTAATCGGGTGCAGGTACCTAAAGATGACAGAGGAGTCAACATGGAACAAAAGTTGAAAGTACTTATTAAAGACACTCTTGGTAAGCAGTGAAAATTTGCATGTATGTGAAGAGATATATAATCTATGATATGTTAGGTTGCAGACAATTTCTGGAATAGAGAAAAGAAAGAAGCATTTCCTAATTTCAGTTGTCTGTGCTTTTTGGTTGGTTATTAACCAAAGTGTTCATTGGCTTTATATTACTTACAGGAATGTACTAATACGTGCAATGAATAGTAACCTCACAGCACGTTTTCTTACCCTCCCGTTTTAGGACTACCTGTAGCTGGACAGACGTCAGAATTTGTGAATCAAGTTTTAGAGAAGACTGCAGAAGGAGACCCCACCGGCGGCCTTGTAGGGCTACGAATACCAATGTCTAAAGTTTAAGACATGACTTTCAGCTGTTCTCATTGGTCAGACTCTACCTGTGTTGTCAAGTACTTCATTGTAAACTGCATTCTGGTCTGCATGTCAGTTTAGCATTATGTAAACACTTACATTTAGGTTCCATTGTTTTTGAATAACAATGTAGTAAAACAAATCAAAGCATGGTATAAAATGCTTAATAGCATTTTTGGAGCATAAACCAGATAGTTTCAAAGCTGCTTTAAGCTTAAATACACAGATGAGGATTCTTTTTAAAATTAAGTTATCTAGGACCAGAATATATCACCTTTGTTTTAGAAGCAAAAACATGTTTTTGCTAGTGAAAATTTTTAGCATATGCCAGACATTGTGACAAGTTTATGCTCCAAGTAAAATAAGAGGAAGCGTGGTTTTTTTTGTTTTTTGGGGGTTTTTTTGGCAAAGCTGTCAATATAGGGAGTTTTATGTTCTTTTTTTTTTTAATCATTGGATTTTATTTTGTTTTTTCTTAAAAAACAATAAGCTTTCTTTGCAACCATTAACTTGTACATAGCACACGTGGCATTAGAGCTAGTGTGCCATATAAGACTTTAATTTTCTGAGCTTAATAGAGTATTTAAATGTCTGTGCAAGCAAGAGAAAAAAAGTATCTTCTTTGTGCCTTGTATTTTGGGGGGAGAGCTATCAGTATAAGCTGGTAAAGTTTTGTATGAAGAAAACCCTGAGGGGAAAAAACAAGATGTATAGATGGGAAGATTATAGGTTTTAATGTATTTGTTCCAGCTCTTAAAATTTTTGAATGTATATAGGAATATGTTGAAAATGTAGATATATGCCACAGAGTCTATGTATTGTATAAAAGATGGCTCTAGAAAACTCAATTTCGGTACTTTGGCCGGAAGAAAACAAATACTTGCACATTAATGCGATTGTTTATTTTTGTACCAAAGACAAATGCAACTGATATGGCGAACTGCCAGTCTAAGTAAAGTTTTGCACAGCTTATATGATACTGTACTGAATGTAAAAACAAATGAAAAAAAAAGAAAAAAAATTAAAGGTCAGGGTTAGGGATCTTACTGAACTGTGAATTTTTTTGTTTGGGTCCAATTATCTACAGAAGGAGCATTCATACATAACAATATTATTTTGCTGTTCTTGTAGTTCGCTTCCATGGTAGATAAGTTGGTGGCCGTCTCGGAGTCTTTAAATCTTTTTTCTCTGCACTTACTGTAGGAGATTTTAATATATTTGGATTTTAGTAAGCTATTGGTAAAATAGTTTTCAACTTTGAGAATTTAAAAAAAATATTTAGCTTGTTGTAGTATACTTCCACCAAACAACCAAAATAAAATTATTTTTATTGTAATGTGTATATATGTAAAGAGAAAAAAGAGCTACAAATATCTAATTCCTTAGTTGCCACTTTTCCAGTTGATGTATTATTATGCATGTGATGTTTCCAAGGATCAACACAGGCTTCAAACAAAACAAAACAAAAAAATTTATAGACTTTTATATTTTTGTACAGGTATTTCGAAACTAGCTTCTTCAAACTTATATGTGACTTATTCTTGTTAATTCAGTAGTTTCTATGATTGAGGAATATTAACACAGTTCTTATTTGCTCTTCTGCTAATAAGAGTTGGCTTTGTAGTCAGTGTTAACGTACAGATTAAAAGCTTTAGCCTTTGATGAGAAAGTCCTTTATCTCAAGGCAAGATCATTCTCTGGTTTCATGGACCCCCCCCTCTTTTCCTCCCTGTTCTTTCTCTCCCTATTTAAAGATGACAAAACACTGTTTACTGAAAATAGAAATACCAAATATTTTCAAATGTAGCTGCTGAAAAAAAATGCAAAAGTCCATGAAGGCTTTCTCCCCACTCCCTTTGGGGAATTTCTCCACTTCGTTTCTAGTTTGTCTAAGTTTGTTTGTACTGTGATTCCTTTTTGTTTATAAGTAGATTATTTTTATATCCAAGCTTGTACTATAAAAAAAAAGTCTGAATCGGTAATAGTGCAGTAAGAGTGGCCGATGAAGGTGGCAGTCCTGCCCCATACTCGTGAGTGTGCACACAGCTTACTTTGTATCTAAATATTTTGGAAGACTCAAAAGGGAGGAGGAGGCCAAAATACCACTACTGAGCTGTACGGAAAGTCTTTCCTACAAGAGACTGAACAAACACCCAGGGCAATTTAGGCAAAACTTTGTAAATCCACTTAAGACTTGCAAAATCTGAGTGGAATGTGGGTGGTTTTGTTTCAGGTGTTTTTGTTGTTGTTAGGGTGAGGTGAGAGTTGGCAGCTGCTTTACACAGTGGGTCAGATGTATTCCTGTTGTAATTATTGCCAATGTTGCAGTTATTCCAGAGAGATGCGTTTGGCCCATAAAACCCCGACAAAGAATGTCTCTTGTGAAGCTGAGGCTGTGTCTGTACCAGGATCTGAATACTGTTGTTCCTTTCCGATGAGTGGTGTTAACGCACTGCGCAGATACGAGAGGTCCTTATGCTACATCCAAACTGTGCAGACAAGGCAGCATTTCTAAATGTTAAGAGAGCAGTTTTGCGATCAGGTAAAAACTTCTGTGACAAACTGACAAGGTATTTAAAAAGCCCCTTTTTTTCCTGCTCAGAAATACTGGGCAAATAGAACTTTATAGCTTTTTATTTTTGTCTGAAAACCAGAATATGATTTTGGTCTAGCATTTCAAAGTAGACTTTGAATCTTTAGTGAATTCCATACCCTTGCATTTCAGTGTTTTCTATGTATTATTTTAAGTTAAAGCTTTTAAATAGTTGAGCTTTTTAATGTTGACACTTTATTTTGTACCTATTTATATGTATGTATATCTTAGAAAAGCACTTTGTTTAAAAAAAAAAAAGAAAAAAAGAAAAAAAAGAAACTGCGTTTTATATGATTCCTGCCACTTGCTGCTAACTCTGGGCTGGTCAGAATGCTGCAGCGATACTTGATATAAATAAAACCTGGCAGTAAAATGTAGAGTAAAGATAAGACCTTTTGCTGGTTTAACTTTATCATAAAGGTGACATAGGCAAGCTGTGCAGCTTTACATTTTAACCAGGGGACTCTGTGGCATTTAAACCGTCTAGAAATGGTTGTACTTTAATGCCAGTAACAATCTGCTTCCTCTAGTGTCATTAAAATATATACAGTTAGTGTATACTTATCACAAACAAAAATCTTATAAGGTATAAAAACCAACAAATGTACATGTTCTGTTTTCTGGCAATTGTGGCATGCATTTTTGGATGATCTTTAGAGAAGGCCATTTTCTAAAGATTTTCAGTGTTCATACATGGTATGTGGATCTTAATGAAGTCCTGGATTTTTTTCTGTTTGTTTTTGAGTGTAGGCATTGTGAATATTCACTTTTAATCCTATATCCAAAAACAATTATACATTTTATTGATTTAATACAAACAAAAGCTCTTCCTTTTTCTGATACACTGGATTCTCTAGAATTTGTTTCCATATTAAAAGCATGCTGTCTTAACTGCTCTTGTTGAGATCTCGTCAGTCTGAACTTAGGTGCCACACTTTGAATTGATGGACTGCTTCTTCTACTGTACCATGTATGATTCTTGTCCTCTCCTACTTCCTTCATGACAGATGATGATGTGGCTTTATATTGTGCCTTACTTGTACATCTAGAACTAAATGTTTTTCATTCCCTCTGAACTCTTCAAACTTAACCCCTCTGAAATTGAATCAGAACTGATAAAAGCATCCTGAAGAAAGTCTGGATAGATCTGATTTCAGTTTCTCTCAATAGTAGTCCTTTTGTATTTATATGGAAGACTAGTTTTTGAATGGCCTTGCAAAATGTGGGGGGTGCTCATGAAGGGTGTTTTTTAGCCCTAAACCCCTTTTGCTAATGCTTCCTTTTATGGTTTATTGAACACATTTACTGATACTTGGTGAGTACTTTTTTTTTGGATGAGAGAGACTTACTACTAAAGCTATGTTTACGTGTGGATGGGCTGGATTTTCTTATTGTACCAGTGGAAATCATTGTGATTTAATGAAGTTGTATTGCTGTAAAGCTGATGTGAGAGTCGGGCTCAGCTGTGTTCAGTTCCTAATTCTTTATAGATAAGACTTTTTTCCATACTAAGAGGGCCAGGAAAAAGGTTTTTTTAAAAAACAAGCAACCACCCACCCACCCAAAAACCCCTAAAATGGAGAAGGGTCTTTTAACTAACCTAAAAGCAACCAGACACTTCTGAAATACAGTGGTGTCAGTTTTGATTTTAAAAAGATCCCCCCTAATATTTATCTGATATTTGCCTTCATTAATAAAATAGTTAGCTTATTCACAAAATATAAAGACTGGATGTGCTTTTCTTTTCCATAAATAATTTAAACATAGCTATTTTTTTAAAGCTCTAAAAGGCTTTATCAAGAGAATTTCAAAATGTTGTATACCAGTTGCCTTCAGCAGAAATAGCAGATGCAATTCTGTTCCTCAAACGTGCTTGCTAGTCTTCCTGAAATTCTGTTGAGGCATAACCCAATTATGTACCGTGAATGTCAGGATCTGTATTTGGCCTTGCAACCTGAATTTCAAGAATGCATCTAATCATGGTTTTATTTTGTTTTTAAGTTGGAGGCTTCAGTTGGAATCATCTAGTTAAGTGTGCTGCTAGGTGTGGTCTTGGCTTATTGATACAGCCTTGCACACAGCTGAGGTTTATTTTGTTTACCCCAGGGATCGTGTGAAGTACATTTCAAACAGTTACTGCTTCAGTGACTGATTCTTCTTGTAACTGTATTAAGGGCATTAGTATGTTGAGAAAACACCACTCTTGAATATCTCCCAATATAAATTGGGATTTTTAAATGTTGTTAATGAAAGATGGCACTTTTAGGTTATATCTTCTTTGCAGCATACAAAAATGTCTCTGTCTTTATACAATTTACATTTCACAATCTGCCATGTTTTTCCCCCAGTGCTTCTAGCATGATAAGAAAGTGTGTGTGTGCACTGAATAATTATA